TTTTTAAAGTTTCACTTCTCTCTTAAACTTCAAATAATTTCTTAATATACTCCTCAAGTATCACTTTCCGAGCAACATTACACGCAAGAAACACCTCGCACTTCACAAAGGAAAATTTTTCAAAAGTTCTTAAAAGTACACAACACGCGGTCTCAGAGCGCCGAGGCGAACTTCTCAGAGCAGCGAGAGACACAACCTCTCCCTTCCACTGTCACGCACACACTGACCTGCGAGCTCGCCTGGCTTCCCGACCTGAATTTCATCTCCGCGAACGGGGCCGGATGCTCGGGGCGGATTCATCTCTTGTCCTTACGCGAACGCTACTCTTTTTCTCCCGTTTCCCTGATTTCTTCCTTTTTCCCTCTTCCATATTCCCACGATGAATTAGTTCGAAACACGATAGATAAGGGTAATAAATCTGGCATCTTATCTAGGCTGGTTCGTAAGTTTACCGATGAAAAGGGATTTCCCCAAGAAAGACTGTGGCGCCATCTAGGGGGAGAAACCTTGGACTTAATGGGCAGGAGTTAGGGGAAGAGGGGAAATGTTATTAATCTTGTCGGCACAATCCTTCTCCCCCTTCCTCCCTCCCCTTCCAACCTTCTCCTCTCACCTCTTCCCCTCCCCTCCCTATACTTCACCCTCCACCTTTCTCTCTCCCCTTCCCTCTCACCCCTCTCCACTTCCCTCTCCTCTCTCCCCTTTCCTCCTACCTCCTTCCCCTCCCCTTTACTGCCAACTACTCTCACCCCTCCGTCCCACCTCCTCTCTCTCTCTCTTCCCCCCTCTCTCCTCCCCTCTCATTCCCCCACCTTCTCCCTCTCCTCCCCTCCCTCCCACCTCCTCTCACCCCTCCCTTCCCATCTCGCTTCCTCTCTCTCCCCTCTCCCCTCTCCCCTCTCCCCTAACGCCATTCTCCTGAAAGCCTACACATCACCGGGGAAATTGTGAATACGTAATGTTGCTTTAGATTGAGGTGAAACTTTACCCGCTAATAATGTTGTGTCTCGAGAAAAAACGGAATGGGGTGAGTTGGTTGTTTAGATTTTGTGCGCGTCATTTTGAAATACAAGAGGGAGGTCGTAGTAGTGATTGCAGCAGTAGTAGTAATATGGGTAGTTGTAGTAGGGGTGGTAGCAGTAGGCTACTAGTAGTAGTGGTAATATTAGCATTAATAGTAAATGTATAAATTACATCAACTGTAGTAGGAGTAGTAGTAGTGGTGGTGGTGGTTTTGGTTGTGGTGAAGGTAGTACTAGTAGAAACAGTAGGAAGTGTAGGAACGTTATTATAAGTAGTAGTGGTAGTAGTAATAGTAGTTGGTATTAGAAGTAACGATAGCTAATGTATGTACAGTATGTTCTAGAGTGCGGAAGATATTGTTGCCTAGGATTAGCCATAACTGGAGGACCGGAGGCCATTAAGAAGAAAAACAGTACTATAGCAGTGGCAGCAGCAATAACTGTCCAAGCAACGATAACAGTAGTAACAATAATAGTAGATGAGATGTTGTCATAGTTGTAGTGATGTTCTGTAAGGGTAAAACGAGTAATAATGCTAATTGTAACAGTAAAAGTAAATATAGCATGAATGGGAGAATAAACATAGACAATAATTCACAGAAAGAGAACAACAAAAGAGCATCGACTGACACCAAACAAAAAATCCGATCCGATCCCGTTCGAAAAGCGATTCGAAACCACATCTCGCGGTTCGATCTCGATCCGAATGGTTTCGTAGCTTCGAGCGGCGGCGGCCGAAGGGCGGCGGCGACCTCGATGGAATGTCGTGATAGTAAATAAACCTGATCGGGAAAGTCGGGCGAAGGCGGCGCCAGGGAAGACAAAGGGGCCGGCGGAGGCGATAGATCTCTCCCTTCGACGCCTCTTAAGAAGGAGGGAGACGGAGGGCGAAAGGGAAGGAGTGAGAGGGAGGAGAGGGGGAAGAAAGGGAAGAAGGGAAGGAGAAGGAGGGGAAGGACGAAAGGGAATGGAGGAGAGGGAAGGGAGGGAGAGGGAGGACGAAAGGGAAGAAGGGTAGGAGAAGAGAGGAGGACGAAAGAGAAGAGAGAGAGAGGGAAGAAGAGAGGAAGAGAAAGGGAGATGGAATGGGAGAGGGAAGTGAGGGAGAGGAGGACGGGAAGGGGGGGAGAGGGAAAGGAGGGAGAAGGAGAGGAGGCCGCAGGGGCGGTGAAGAGGGAGGGCCGAGGGGAAGGCGAAGAGGAAAGGTGAAGGGGGACGAAAGTAAGGAGGGTAAAGGGAAGATAGAGGGAGGGATGTTGGAGGAGAGGGGAGGGAAAGGAGGGCGCAGCGAGGGAGGGTAGCGACAAGGGAGATGGGGTGAACATAAAGAAGAATGCAGAGAGAGGATTGAGGGAAGGGCGAAGAAGCGAATGGGAGGGGGTGAAAAGGGAGGGTAGAGTGGAGGGAAACGGAAGAGGGTAGGGGTGGGAATAGGAAAGGAGGGAGGACGAAAGAAGAAAGCGGAAAGCGAGAAGAAAGGGGGTACGAGGAAAGGAGAAGAAAAGAGAGACAGATGGAGAGGAGAGAATTGTAAAGAGGAAAGGACGGATGAAGTGAAAGGAGAGAGAGAGAGAGAGAGAGAGAGAGAGAGAGAGAGAGAGAGAGAGAGAGAGAGAGAGAGAGAGAAGAGAGAGAGAGAGAGAGAGACAGACAGACAGACAGACAGACACAGAAACAGAAACAGAAACAGAAACAGAGACAGAGACAGAGACAGGGAGGGGGTGAAAAGGAGGTAGAGTGGAGGGAAACGGAAGAGGGTAGAGGGTGGAGAATAGCAAAGGAGGGGGAGGACGAAAGAAGAGACGGAAAGCGTGAGAAGAAAGGAGGTACGAGGAAAGGAGAAGAAAAGAGAGACAGATGGAGAGGAGAGAATTTAAAGAGGAAAGGACGGATGAGTGAAAGAGAGAGAGAGAGAGAGAGAGAGAGAGAGAGAGAGAGAGAGAGAGAGAGAGAGAGAGAGAGAAGCAGAAACAGAAACAGAAACAGAGACAGGGACAGAGACAGAGACGGAGACGGAGACAGACAGACGCACACAGAGACAGAGCCATAAACGGAGAAAGCCAGAAGCAAATAGAGGCAGGGGAGGTGGAGAGAAAGGCAAACAGTCTATTTCTGTTGTCATAGTTTCTCGGTCTCTCTCTCTCTCTCTCTCTCTCTCTCTCTCTCTCTCTCTCTCTCTCTCCCGATACACAAGGCGTACTGTACCCTTGGGAACTGTGCGTTTGCGTTCGTGTAAAGATAGTGTGATAGTTTAAATAGGTAAATAGGTGCGTATATGAGCAGAAAGGCAGGCTGGCGCAGCGGGGAGGCAGGCAGGTAGGTAAGATATTGATAAGAGGACAGAGAGGGAGATCGATAGATTTTGTAGATAAACGTGAAGACAAACAGATAGGCAGATAGATATAGTAGACCAATTGGCTTAGAAGTAAATAAGAAAATTTACATTAATTTCATACAGGAACAAATATATACATATATACATGAAAATTAACTTACATACATATATACATGAAAATAAACTTACAAACATATATACATGAAAATAAACATGCATATATATACTTGAAAATAAACATACATATATATACATGAAAATTAACATACATATATATACATGAAAATAAACATACATACATACATATGTACATGAAATAAACATACATACAGTAATAGATACATACATATAAAAAACACACATACATGCTTATATATACATACAGACTTACATGCAATCATACATCCAAACACATAAATACATACGTGCATATATACATGAATACATACATACATACACACACACACATACATACATACATACATACATACATACATACACACACACACACACACACACATACATACATACATACATACATACATACATACATACATACATACATACAGAGTAAACATTATCCCCCCTTCAAAAAAAGAAAAAAAAAAGAAGCTACATGAATAATAAGCACAAAAAGAGAAACCATAACCGTCCCAAACCGATTAAAATCTCGACCGGCTGCCATCAAATTAATAACCGAAGCTTCACGTTATCGATGAAAATTAATTCTCTGGAGAAATGTGCGGTTTTCGTATCGACGATCTAAGAGCCAACGACCGGGTTATTCTATTCAGTAATTATGAAAAAAATCTCCACGGTAAGATTGCCTTAGATATAAAGGGCAGGGAGGTACGTGGTTATGGCAAAGGGGGTTCTAAGGGGTAAGGGGTTGAGGGAGGGGGAGGGGTTTATGAGAGGGGGGGTGGGGGGGTGGGGAGGGGGTGGAGGAGAAAGGGGTGCTTGGCCTATTCTATCTTTGTCGTACTGTCAATGTTAGCATTTTGTTATTATCATTATTATTATCGTCATGATTGTTATTAATAATATTATCGTTATGATTATTATTACAATAATTATTATAGTTATTAATGCTGTTATTCTTGCCATTATCATTCTTTTATCATTCTTATTGCTGTTATCATCATCTTATTATCGTTATTATCATTATAAAAATATCATTATGATTATCATTTTACTGTTATTGTTATTATTGCTATTGTTACGTGTATTATTGTTGTTGTAACTGTTGGTATACTTATTCTAACTTCTACCTACTATTATTTCAAATTATCTTTATCATTATTATCTTGACTTATTATCATTGTTATTATCTTTATTACTATTATTATAACTATTACTATTACTATTATTATTAACATCATTAATTTTATTGTTGTTGTTGTTATCATTATCATTGTTATAATTATTATTATTACTATTATTATTAATTTTATCATTATTATTATTAATGATATTGTTATTGCTATCATTATCATTATTAATGATATTGTTATTGCTATCATTATTCTTATAATCATTATTATTATCGTTATTATTATAACCATCATCACACTTACTGCTGTAACTATTAATGTTATTGTTATTACTATTACTATTTGTCATCATAGCTACTTACATTACTGTTATTATTATTGTTACCATCACCATTACTTTTATTATTGTCATTTGTATTAACATCATTATTGTTACCTTTAATATCATTATCATTATCATTGTAATCGCAGTAGTATAATCATTGTTAATATCATTACTATTGTTATTCTTTTCCTTATTATGATTATATTTATTATTAATATTATCATTGTTGTTTTTGTTGTTACATTGCTATTATTATC